TTGTCCGAAGTTACGTGTTAAAAAGAACCGAAACTTCCTAAAATCCTTTGGGTTCAGAAGTGACTTTGGGAGGTAAGAAATGTTGACTAAACTTTTTTTTTTAGTCAGGAGGAAAGCAAGCAGATTTTTTTTTTTTCCCCCCCTCCTCCTAGAATGCTCTTCTGGTGGTAGTCCTTTGCTGCAATAAAGGGAAGAAAGGAAAATATAAAGAATGTGTTTCTTACAATTTTGAAAGCTTGCTTCATTGAAAAACAGAAGGTGTGACCTAGAAAAATAGCAGAACTACTGAGTGTTGTGGTTAGAATTAAATGGGAAATGTAATCTGCATGTTACTGGCAGTGAAGTACATATCTATGTTCCAGGTTTTAAGGATTTTCAGAAATGTGCTGATGGCAGTTGTAATGATTATGGTATCTCATCTCAGTGAAATCTCTAAAATACTCTGAAATGCATGTCTGGTTTGGATTCCATCATTTACAGGTTGAAACTTCTGGGGATTTTGTGCAGGAATCAGTTTCAGTGAAGGTGTATTACTAGCCTGAACATTCCTGGTTTTGAAATTAATTAAGGGTATATGTAGATGAACTAAGATCTTAACTCTTGGAGGTAAGAAACAAGGTGGCAAGACTAGTCCTTTGGGTATGTTGGATTTCAATCCTGTCTTTCAGGGATTTGCAATTGGAGAACGTAAAATTTTATGTAATGTTTTTTTTTTTATATACTAGGTGGAGCTGATAAGATTAATTCTAAATAGCTGGAATCTCAGATTTCAATTGTGAAGTTCGCTAATATAAATGCATCAACTGCTTAGGTTCTTTTTTCAGGGAGCTGTTTCTTAGATGACAGGGTGGTCCTATTTATTATTACATGCAAATAAATGAGTTGATTTAATTAAAAATGCCCTTTTCCCCTTTCCTACCCCACTTTTTTTTAGAAGAAATCCTTTTACAGTTCCAAACTCTTTATCGATGGTTTGCTGCCAAAAAGTACTTTGGGGTGTGTGCTTTTGAGTTTTTTGCTTGAGAGTTCAGTGTCCAGTTCATCTGGCTTTGAAAGTGGCTGTGGGTTTTGACAGTGTTTTCCACTTGGGTTAGGAAATCTATCTGGGTGACAAAACAAAAATACAACATCCATGCACTGCCACGTGACAATTAGCATTGCTTCGTCCTCTAGCAGAGGTAAGGGGTAGCACAAGAATGCACATTAAATCCAGAAACACAGTGGAAGCTGATAGCTTAATTGTTTTAGAGCCTTTTTTAAAATTTGTTCTCACTCAATGTATTACTTCCAGTTCAATGTATTACTTCCATTTATATCAGTCTAATTTGATTGTACAATTACTCTTGAGGCTTCCTATTTCTGTCTCAAACCTATAAATCCATTGAAGTTTCTAGAAGACATTAATGAGTGGAAAAGTGAACTAATTCTTCTGTATTCTCTGTTATTGTGATACTTTGAATTTGGGTGTTATGCAGCTCTTCTCACTTCATGGCTCAAAGCTTCTAGCAATGTGTGCACGCTGTTGGAGCTCTACACTAGCAACACCTTTTGTTCAGGTATTCTTCCTGTATGTTAGAGATACTGAGGGCATTGAGGTATGTGAAGTATCGTCTCTTTATGCCTTTGAAGATGGAGGAAGTGAGTCAAAGATGAGAGAAAGGAGCCATTGGAATTCTTTCTTCACATGGGATGGAAGGTTCTTGGGCAGTTATTTCATCGGTCATTCTCTAATAGCCAAAATGTAACATTTATCAGTTTACAGTTTTGGACACAGTTGCAGTTTCTTGTAATGTCTTGTTCATTCACAATTGTAATTTGTATTTCAGCTTCTGGAGCCAGTTTGCCATCAGCTCTTTGAGTTCTATCGCAGTGGTGAGGAACAGTTGCTACGATTTACGCTGCAGTTCCTACCAGAATTGATGTGGTGCTATCTTGCTGTCTCAGCCAGCAGAGATTTGCAGAGCAGTGGATGCATAGAGGCTCTTCTCCTAGGAGTTTATAACTTGGTTTGTATTCACATGTAATTATTCAGGCCTAAAAATATTAGTGTGCTTTTGGGGGATACTAGAATGATATTTTACTGGTTGTTGTGATTTAACCCCAGTTGGTAACCAGGCACGACACGGCCACTTGCTCACACCCACCCACCCACCCCTTCCCCCCCCGGCCCTGGTGGGCTGGGGGAAAGAATTGGAAGGGCAAATGTGAAAAAGCCTGTGGGTTAAGAACAGTTCAATGACTGAAATAGAATATAATAAATTGTAGTCAAAAGGAAAACGACAAAGAGAGAAACAAAACCAAGGAAAAACAAGGGATGCAGCCACTCACCACCTGCCAACAAAAACCCGGCTTCAGGTTTCCAGTCCCTGAGCAGCAATTGTTGGCACCCCTAAGTTCATATACTGACTGCCCAGAGTGGGAGCATGATGTCAGTTTGGGCCAGCTGTCCCAGCTGTTCTCCCTCCCAGCTTCTTGTGCACCTCCTCGCTGGCAGATCATGGGAAGCTGAAAAGTCCTTGACTTAGTGTAAGCACCACTTAGCAACAGCCAAAACATCAGTGTGTTATCACATTATTCACATGCTAAATCCAAACCACGGCTCTATACCGGCTACTGGGAGGAAAATTAACTCTGTCCCAGCTGAAACCAGGACACTGGGGAATAATTAAGAATTTTGTTTCAGAGTTGAAATGAAGTGATTGAGTATCTCAGTTTTGACTCTTCAAATTGGTGTCCTTGCAAGAAATCTGCAACATGAGCTTTTATTCTTTTATTTTGATGAATATGTTCTCTGCTTGGTTTGTGGTTCCTGGAAAGTATTAATGCACTAAGGGCTGAAGGAGCCAAAGAAGTCGTCATCTTTTTTTTTTTTTTCTTGGTATGGTGATTAAACTTACATTCTGCTTGAGAGCTTTTAGAGGTGCAACTTTTGAAGTGGTCACCGATATTTTCTAAAGTATTTTTGACTATTTTGACTAGAAAAACCACTTTCAGCAAATTCTTAGTACTCGACTGATGAACAGGTTGCTTAGCTTTAATTTCTTAAAGGTCATCTTTCATTTTGTAATAACCTGGACACCTTTTCCATGTTTTGTATGAAAAGATACTGTTTGTTGCTAGATTACTGCTTTGAAGGACAAAATTATGAAGGGACTTCTAAGAGCACTGTATTTCAGTTATGCATCTAGTCTTTCTGTGGCTATGATAAAAAGCGTAGCGTTATGTCCCCTGGGATTCTCTTCAGTGTAGTTTGTATGTTCTGGATGTTTTAGGAAGGCTTTTTGGGAAGTGAGACGGTGATGAACTTCAAGTCTCCTTTTTCCATTCTGAAAGTCTGGAGCAGGCAGTTCCCATCCTTCTTGTAAAAATAATCTCAAGTATCTTTACCCAGCGAGTATAAACATTTTTCACTCGGGAGTTTACTTAAAAAGATCTGAGCCTTTATGTTCAACTCCTCTTCAGGGAGAGTACAGGTTTCATGTGCTTTCTGTGTGCTTCGTTGTACCTGAAGAAAAACATTCCTCTAAAGATATATTTGATATATCTTATGCCTTAAGTCAATTCACTCCTTTATTTCATAGAATCATGGGATGATTTGGATTGGAAGGGACCTTAAAGATCACCTAGTTCCAACCCCCCTGCCATAGCATGAGCATGGTCCACTAGACCAGGTTGCTCGACGTTTCCTTGATGAAGTCATCTAAAATGGTTGATGGATGTGACTCTAATCACTCTTCTTCCTCCTGTAAGAGGTTACAGTTAAGCTTGAAACCAGGCTGTTAATGTCTTCTTTTTAGCTATGAAGAGCTGCTTCAATCAGCAGCGCAGCCGTCCATCTCCAGCTGCTTAGGGTCATAAGAAGTTTACAGCAAGCCTCTGTGTGAAGCTGTAGATCAGCCTGATTTTTTTGAAATCTTTTTTTCCTGTCTGCTTTAAGACATAATGCTTATGCAAAAGTAATGACACGTCACTGATGCTGGCTTCTTCCCCTCTGTTGATGTTGTATAAAATCTGTAGCTTAATCAAGATGGCACTGTTCTCCAGTATACGAGGTTGAAAAAGTAGCAGGTGACCTGCTGATATACTTATTTTCTCTTTAACCAGCTACTTTACCTTCTCAAAAGCAAGAGGAAAGATGTAGCCTAATACGAATAGTAATCCTTCCCTAAATATGTATGGTGGTCTCTTGGAATTTGAGGGAATTAACATGCTCAAGAGTCCTGCAGTTTCTAACTGAAGGAAATGGAAAAATGAAGTATTGCTCAGAATAATTTTAAATTCACTACGTTGTCAGGGGTGTGTAATTACTGTGGCTACATCTTGAGACCGTGAACTGGTTTGTCCTGCCTTCAGCTTGGAGACATACAGTGGAGTGCATGCCGTTGATATTCTTGGCTTTCTGGCTAGAGGTATCAGGTTTTTTTCTAATATTCTTCAGATCTTGAAATGTACTCCTGAAACATAATTACAAATCTGATTAGAATGAAGAGTCAAAATACTGATATTTCTAGATCTTAGAAGTTTGAATGCAGCCAGTTTCTCTTCCCTTCTCCTCCCATACTTTGAGGAAACTTTTTTCCACGAGGATGCAGGAGCGATACTGAAAATGAAAGTCTGAGTGGTTTATGTGGAGAATGGAGGAGCTGTGTAACTCTGCAGACAGAACAGCTCTGTATTCCTTTACCACTTCATATGTGACTTTAAGACATGAGTTTTAATAATTACTATGTGAAGTTAGTTCTTCAGCCTTCCAAGGCATGGGTGTGAGGAGACACTGAAGTTCCCCTCTAATCTCTGTCTTCAGATACACAAAATCTGTGCTGCTGAAATTTAGAGGCAGGTGGAGTTGTTGTGTATGTGGTATTGGTTATTGGTCAGGTCTGGTTTGAAACTTCTGAAGTTTTTTTGAAGTACATCAGTACTCTCCGGTGATACGTAGGCACATCTGTTTTTGCCTTGCCCTTTAGTCTTCCACTAACAGAAGTGAGAAGTTTGCCAACTTACTGCTATGGTGGTATGTTGCAGGAAAATAGCTTCTCCAAAGCTTTGCATCTGTGCTTCGTTTAAACCTCTCTGTAAGTATGGAATTACCAAACTTGGACTGCAAATACTATGGTGTCTGCTACTATCAAACCATATGAGGCTGCAGTCATTGCAGAGCTATAATATTTCCCCCCAAAATTACTTGTAGAGTCATTACTTGGTGGGTAAATAGTTCTTAGAACAGAATTATTGAGTATTGACCTTCACAATTAGCTAACAGTGTATAATTAAAAAAAACCCCCACTGTTTAAACGTTTTGAGATTTGCATTTAGTGTTTTTAAGGTGGACTGTGTATGCAAATATATGTGCAGTTTGCTAAGTCCTTTGAGCAGTTTTCAGAAACAAAGCAAAACCACTGTGACCAAAAGCAAGCACAGAGAACTTCTAGAGTGTAGCTCAGATTGTTATAGTATCCCTGTCTCTGAAATAATTTGTTGGCTTTCTTTATCCATTCAGCCCTGTCCAGCATTTAACGTTTTTGAGTGTCTGGTTCCTGTAGTACAGTGTAACCGCTGGTGTCTTCTGTCTTTTTCAGGAGATAGTTGACAAAGAGGGACATAGCAAAGTGCTGAGTTTCACAATTCCGTCTTTGTCCAAACCTTCAGTCTATCATGAAGTAAGTGACATCCACGACGTAAAGTTGTTGCTGATTGAGAAAGGCAGTACGCTCCGGGGGCCTGTTTGTAAGGATAAAACTGAAAAATAGTTTTAACGTGTTGCATGTTGACATGTGAACATATTTCTCGGTCTTCTGAGTACTGCTAACTGGTCTCTGAGGCCTCTTCCAGACTAGCTAGTCATAACTCCATAATATCTATGCACCAACTGTACCTTTTTGGGTTTTTTCCATTCTGAAGCCATATACCTTATCTGGTGTAAAATAGCTTCTCAAATCTAAGACAGCTAAGCAGTCAGATAGCCTTAAGCCTGTTGAAAACTTCTGTTCAAATATGGTAATGCTGATCATGGTCTCTTTTCACTTGTGTTGTAGCAAGGCTTAAGGTGGATGTGTTTTGAATGACCCTTTTTCCTTTAGCCTTCCAGCATTGGCTCCATGGCTCTTACTGAAGGAGCTTTATCGCAGCATGGTTTGTCCAGGGTTGTGTACAGCGGACCTCATCCTCAGAGGGAGATGTTAACAGCACAGAACAGGTGAAATAGCGATTCTCGGGCAAAATCCTATTGCACAGATGAATGTTCACGTCTTACAATGTTTAATGTAGTTGTAGACTGAAGGTGGATAGGTATATGCTGTGTTTTGTGGTGGGTTTCCTGTTTGTTTTAGACATGTGTGAATGTAGATGCAGAAGGAGTAGCAGCACATATTGCTACATTAAGAGGAAAAGCTTACAGAACCAAAATACTCAGTCAATTTTATTAAAACAAAATACCATACCTGTTCAAATAACTCTTGCAAATTTCTGTGTAAACTTGTTTTCCTTTCAGGAATAAAATTGGTAATGTAATTCTAATGTTTCTTGTAATTCCCAGGTTTGAAGTGCTGACTTTCCTCCTGCTCTGTTACAATGCTGCCTTAAGCTACATGCCTGCAGTTTCTCTTCAGTCGTTGTGTCAGATTTGTTCAAGGTAATTTCTGTAGGCTGACTACACTTAAAATGGCATTTTCAACTTGAAATGCAATCAGTTTGAACTACTTTTTTTTTTTCCCAAAAAAAAAAAAAGCTTCAGGTTCACAGAAGCTGCTTTTAAACTTGACTTTTTGTTGTAAGTGTTTACCAGCTGTATTATTTGCTTTTAAAGTATCTCTTGTATAACTTTGGTTTGAGACCTCAAAATGGGGAAGCAATGACCTGACTTTATGCAATGCTGTTAAGTGGAGAAATCAAAGGGAACTGTTTGTTTTTAATCCAAGTAGCTGTAGGTTAGTGTTAACTAAATAAAATCAGCAATGGCTTCTGAAATCTCGATACATTTTGCATTGCAAACTTATGAAATATATTTGGATGCTGCGCAAGTTGAAACTTCCCTGAAATTATAGGGGATCTTGAAACTAGAAATACATCTGTTCTTTCAGATACTTTGGTTATTTCCGAAATCTGCTGTTTCTTCAAAAAACCCCAATCCCCAAACAAACGAAACAACAACAAACCCCCAAGCCCCAAACAAACAAATAAAAACCCCAAACCCCATGTCAGCTTTAATTAGCATTGTTTTTTGATCAATCTTCTTTCAGAGAGGAAAAACTGGTAGTAAACAGGTCCGTCTCTAGATTTTGGAAGTGGACTTTGGGTTAAGGAAAAAATGAGACTGCATTTGTAACCCAAGAGAGACCTGGAAGTCAACTACGGCAACTTTTTACCAGTCATAGTTACCAGGTTCCTCACACAAACAAAACATGGTAATGGAATCCTGTAAGATTCTGTCCTCCTCAGAGAATGTGAGAGCATTGGAGCACTTGTGAAGACTCATGTAAATATTGCCAAGATCTTTGTTAGATATGGTGGCCTAAAATTTAAGGTAGAAAATATTTAGAAGCCAAGGATTGTGACAGGAGAATGATGTTGCTTATTCTGCCTGATAAGGTTTTGATTGTATTTGGGATAAATAATTTTTTTTAAAGCCTCGGAAAAACCCCCAAGCAAATTACCAGTAAATGCAAGCAAGTCTGTCCACTTCACAGTGTTGAATGTTTGGGTACGGAGTTATTTGATACTATACAATTTTACTGTTATCTTAGTTCTTCATTCCCTACTGGCTTTAGCATCCATGTTTCTCTTTCTACTGAAAATCTTGCCTTGACAGTATTTTAGGGATTCAAGGGAACGTGTCAGAAGACCAGAATTATCTTTCAGTTATCCTGTTTGGATGTGGTGCTGACAAAATTCTCAGAAGCATCTATAGCATAAATCCTTTAATTGGTTTGAGCAGTGTTGAATTTAGGTTTCTTTTGGAAGATCTGTAAGAAGGCAATCTACAATGAATGTGCTTTCTTCTAGTATAATTCAATTTTTATGACTTGTCTAGAGAAGCAAAAGCTTCTAATACTACTTATTTACAAACAAGAACTGTAAATGTGACAATTGCAGCAGAAAACATTTTATACTGACCTCAAGTGTCGTAGGTCTTTTTTTTTTTTTGCATTTGGGCATCTTCAGTTACTAAGTCTCTTTTCATAAGAATATTATCTTACTGTGATGTAGGGTGAAGCAGTTCTGCTGATGTCGTTCTGGCCTTTTTAGTGGAAGTAACTGAGATTAGGGCTTTTTAAAACTAATCAGTACTGGCATGAACAGAGTATCTGTGTTCAGGTCTTTTCTCTATAACCGTCAGTGTTAACTGATCACATTCCTACTGTGAGTTCAGGGTTTGTGAAACTACCTTCCATACCAGATGGAATCACAGAGTGGTTTGGGTTGGAATGGACCTTAAAGACCATCTAGTTCCAACCCCCCTGCCATGGGCAGGGACACCTTCCACTAGACCAGGTTGCTCAAAGCCTCATCCAGCCTGGCCTTGAAGCCATCCAGGGATGGGGCATCCACAGCTTCTCTAGGCAACCTGTTCCAGTGCCTCGCCACCCTCTCTGTGAAGAACTTCTTCCTGATATCTAATCTAAACCTCCCCACTTTCAATTTAAACCCGTTACCCCTTGTCCTGTCACTACAGGCCCTTGTAAAAAGTCCCCCCCAGCTTCCTTGTAGCCCCTTCAGGTACTGGAAGGTGCTGTAAGGTCTCCCTGGAACCCCCTCTTCTCTAGGCTACACAAGCCCAGTTCTCTCAGCCTGTCCCCGCAGGAGACAGCCCCCTGATCATCTTTGTGGTCTCCTTTGGACTTGCTCTGACCAGTCCGTGTCCTTCTTATGTTGGGGGCCCCACAGCTGGATACAGTACTCCAGGTGAAGTCTCATGGGAACAGAGTAGAGGGGGAGAATCCCCTCCCTCGACCTGCTGGCCACACTTCTATGGATACAGCCCAGGATACGGTTGGCCTTCTGGGCTGCCAGCGCACACGGCCTGCTGATGTTCAGCTTTTCATCCGCTTTACACCCCAGTCCTTTTCCTCAGGGCTGTTCTTTATCCATTTTCTGCCCAGCCAGAGCCTATGCTTTGGAAAAGGAAATACTTTGATTAATGTCATTAAAGGTCATTCCAGAAGTGCAGTAATGGCTAATGAATTGAATATTTAACTACCCAATATCTTTGATTACCAAGATGTTTTTACTACAGAACCTGGTGTGGAATTTAGTTTAGAGCCAAGTTCTAATGCTGACTTTTACTGGATTTTAGAGTAGTTTTATAAATGTGATACTTCTGCTGTCTTTGCTTGAAAACATGTATGTACTTTCACATTACGTGCAGTGGTACTTACTAATAACAGACAGAAGCGTAAGTTGCTAGGCTGCTTTATTTACTTAAAGCTCATTAACTTGGTTTTGTCTGTTCTGCAGCAAATGAATGGATTCAGAATGACTCTTACTGGCAGTTCTCTTTAATTTTCCACTGCAGTATAAATGTAACATGAGTGTGTAAGATGCCTTTGTTTTGGAGGATTTGAGCTCTGCCAGGAGAGGACATATCCTTCTGCCATTACAAGAAAGAGCCTGCTTCAGCACAGGCTTGTTGATGGGTACCTTCCTGTGGATCTACTGTATTTCAGACATACACTAAACCCCTAGCTTTGTAGAGCTCTGTACAAAGGTAGTTCTGTGTTATTTGCTAATGACCAACGCATGATTTCTTTAGGATTTGTGTCTGTGGATATCCACGCCAACAAGTGAGAAAGTACAAGGGAGTCAACAGTAGGATTCCGGTTTCATCCGAATTCATGGTGCAAATGCTAACAGGGATTTATTATGCCTTGTAAGTTGGGTGGTTTTTTTATATGCATACAAAATACAGAAATGTCAGCTTAATGTCTACCGTCACTTAAGCATGCTGTTTTGTTTTCTAGTGGACAGTAGCTCTGTCTAGCAATTTGAGACTCAGGGAGAGAATGTAGTTCTCCAACTAGTAAGTCATACTGGGGAAAGAGGGCTAGAACAGCACTTGATAGCTATAACTGCTGATGTGGCAAAATGTTTAAAAAAACACCCTTTTTCCAACCATTGTCTTCTGTCCGTGTTTCTGTGTGCTGAGTTTTGACATCAGCCTAGTTAAGGAAAAAAGGTTGATTGTCATGTTAATGTGTGAAGCTCTCTTACTAACTGAAATAGAGACTGGTAACACAGGAATACTCAAAAGGTGGTGTAATAGTAAATTAAATCCATTTGAATTTCACATTGTTTTGTGACTAGCTGATCAGTAGCTAATTATGTAATTTTTAAACTACTCTGGCCACTGAAAATAAAATTTTGTCTCCATAGGTGCTACTTCAGAACAAGTTCTCTAAATAGCAGGCTTACTGCTAATGGAAGTAGTTCAACTCCTGTAGATTGAGCTCTTTAGGAGTGCTAAATCTGTGAAGGTTGTGTGACCAAGAAGGCTTGTCTGTTGATACAGATGCTCATTATTATGTGTATGTTTACCTTTTGTAGTTATAATGGAGAATGGGATCTAGCTCGTAAAGCTATGGATGACGTTTTATATAGAGCACAGCTGGAACTGTATCCAGAACCTCTGCTGGTAGGTGTTGTATTTCAACTTTTTTCCAGCAGAATTTTCAGTTTAAGAAATCCTTCCTGTGAATGTGCATGATGCGATGTCGCGCCAGGAACCTAAGTCCCATGAGGTCTGTGTGGCTGTGCTCGTGTGAGTAGCTAGGTCTGCTAGTATACACACACGTGCACAGGTATTTTCAATGCACTTTGTCATCTTCCCTCGTGAACAAGCTATTTTCAGTAGAACTTCTAAGTCTTGAAAGCTCAGATGATAGTGCAGAAGCCCTCTGAAGTTCATGTTAAGTAATAGCCACGTCTTTAAACTGGAATCTTTATTTTAAAAAGTGGCGGGTATTAAATATAACTTAGTTCTAATTAAAATTAAATTAACTTAGGTAATTGCAAGCAGCATTTTCTATAGCCCGTGCAAAAAGTTAGTGTGCTTATGACCTTAAACTGGAATTTTACACGGTATTCTCAGAGTAATGAGAATCCCCTGACAGAATTCTTCTTCTAAAATTTGGATCTTCATGTTAAAAACTATGCAACACCTTTTTTGTTCTAGGTTGCTAATGCAATAAAAGCTTCACTGCCTCAGGGTGCCATGAAATCTAGTAAAGAAGGACCAAGATGCATTCAGGTTGAAATTACACCTACTTCATCCAGAATATCAAGAAATGCTGTGACTAGCATGTCTATCCGAGGGCACAGATGGAAAAGGCATGGTAAGAAATGCATCTTGCAGTGGATTATTGGGGTTTTACACATTTAAAATAGATAATTTTGTTATTGCACATCTCCATTGCTAGCGAGCAAGCAGCGGTTGGGAGGGTTTTTATTTTCTTAACTGGTAAATGGGAATTTTAATGCATGTCAGATGAAGTACATTATTTCCTTAATCAAGTTTAAAAAAAAAAAAAAAGAAAAACAACCCAGAAAAAACCATTTTGGTTGAAGGGAGCTCTACTTTAGAGGCTGACGTTTGTGTTTTCTTCTGAAATGTAGTGTGTAGTACATGAAGCAAAGAACCTCACCTGTGTACCTTAACCACAGAACCTCACCTGTCTTAAATTACTTAAAAATTGGATTTGAGGGTAGAAGGATAATTTCTTATATTTTAGTGCTGTGGTTACCACCAACACCCCCAAGTCCTTCTCCTCAGGGCTGCTCTCAATCCATTCTCTGCCCAGCCTGTACTTGTGCTGGGATTGCCCTGACGGAGGTGCAGGACCTTGCACTTGGCCATGAAATTAGGAGCTGCTTAAAACTGTCAGACAAAGCTGAGGAGCAAAGCATTAACGTCTTTAATTAGTGTGGTCCAGTAGCAAGTCATTATTGAAATCTCGAGTCTCCTAAGGACCATTTTAGTCATTATTTATTTTCCTTTCTTCAGGCTTACAGTTGTTAAGCAGGGGTTATGGACCAGGTGCAAGAAAACTGTATGGTAGCTCAGCTTTTAAATGAGCAAATGCCCACTGAAGCTTGGCAGTTTTGTCAGCTCCTGGTTTTGAGTGGTTCTGACGCTTCTTCCAGTGAGGTGGTGGGAGGGGAACACAGATCACGGGTACTGAGTGCCAGTTCATTCAGAGGAACTGAAAGTGTATTAAAATAAACATTCCCTTTGTCTTTGCCTTTACAGGAAAAAAAAGAAATAACATTACAGAATCAGTATTAGAACCATCCTCATAAAAATGCCTTTTTTTGGCAAATAGAGAAATCTAGAAGCTTTTAGAATTACTGCCTTTTTGCAGGGGGGGTGATGCGTGGTGAAGTTCGAGGGAAAACATGTGGGACAAGTGTCCTCCAGAGCAGACAACAGTAAGCTGAAAGGGAAATGAGAATAATCGTAGGGCTCATGGAAATGAGGGGGAATGCAGTGTTTTATGGAAGCCTCATAGAACAGGACAAGCTGAGAGAAACAGTGATAATCCTAGTTGGTGTGGCCCAAGTGAGGAGCAGTCAGTGTTTGGGGATGAGGATGGAAAGATTAAGGACTCTTCAAAAAAAGCTCTTGTCAATGTTTGTTTAGGTTATTGGGAAAACTTTGGATTTGCCTTCATGGTACAGGATTCAGTGGAGTAAAATCACTTGGTGTGGGGTAGGGGTGGAGGGGAACATGTATAACAGATTGTGGGATTAGTTGTAAATTTGAAGGCTGTGTAAACATTAGGCTAGTTTAAAGGCCAAAACTGAACTGACTGTCCTATTGTTTTAAGTGGTAAATGTTCTATGCATATTCAGCTAATCTCCTCAAAACTTTTATAATAAAACACTAACAAAGTTGTTGTTTGTCTTGAAAAGTCTTTTTAAGGTCAGAGTGAATGGTCTTCTGATTTTGAAATTCCTTATAACATAATTCAGTGCCCCACAATTCCTGATGAAAGGTAGACATAATCTTCAGGGTCAGAATGCAGAAAGAATAGCAAGGCGTGTGCTTACAGAGGCTTGTTTGAATTAAAACAAATACTGGAACTGGTAGAAATCAGATTACAAACCTTGTAACTCCTGACTGTTATCCTCTCTCTCACGGTGTCAGGGAAAAAAAATGTGCTTATGGAGTCAGTTGATACTAGCCACTCCTTATCAACAATCATTTAGTGCTATTGAACTGGGTTGCCTGTAAAGCTCAAAAAGAAGCATTAGCTCCTCTATGTAGCCATAGTTTTTTTGTAATGTTCATGTTTTAAAAACAAGCCTTGAGTGGCATCTCCATTTTCATTCACAGAGGAAAAGCAGTGCAGTGTGTAAGGGACACAAACACGAAAATGAATGCTTATTTATGGAAACTAGGAAAAAAAATCAAACCAAGTCCTGTCAATGCTTTCTTTACTTAAAATCTGCCGAACTGCCCCATAAAGGGTTGCTGGGGAAGAACTCCTGTGTGTAGAGGTAATGCATGTAAGAGACACTCTGATGTAACAGGCTGAGTAAGAAGAGTGAAGCAGAGGTTGGTAAGATACAAGGCACAAAAATAAAGACATCAACAAGATAGGGTTTTTTTTCCCCATTGCAGAAATTGACTTTCATATAGCGCATAAAGTTTAGAAACATTAGTCTTTGAATCTCTGTGGAGAGAATTTTCTTACCTTTTTTTGAAACAGTATTAGTGCCTGAAATAGTTATAGCTTTTTTTTTTTTAAGGGATCTGGAATGAATGTTAATTTTGGGATATAAGCTTGATGCTTTTGTAAATAATTCAAAATGCAAACATTGTTGTGCATTGTTTTGTTGTGCAGTGAGGCCCACTAACCTTTCTGCTCCCGTGCTCTTAAGAAAAAGGCTATATTTGATGGTAGTATTATCATTATTATTATTGCTATTGCAGCTCATGGTGCTCAGTTGTTGCCTTCTATCATCAGTAACAAAGGTTTTTGCAGAAAATGCTGTTAGAGGGACTAACACTTGGAAACAGTTCGAACTTGAGTTTCCTGCCAAATATCAGGAAGTTAGTGGCTAATAGCAGCAACTATTAATGCCATCTCCTTTGGATAGTACAGCTTGTTAAATGGATACTTTAATTAGTAGTTGACTAGTTAAAAACTCATGATACTTAGCATTTGCAGGTAAAATCAGAGATAGCTCTTACACCAGGGGACAATGATGTCCATCCCTGCCAGAATAACCTTCAAGCTCTGAGACTTACTTCATTGACATTAAGGCTGAGAGAGCTGGGCTTCTTCAGCCGGGAGAAGAGAAGGCTCCAGGGAGACCTTACAGCACCTGCCAGTACCTGAAGGGGCTACAAGGAAGCTGGGGGGGACGTTTTACAAGGGCCTGTAGTGACAGGACCAGGGGGAACGGGTTTAAAATGACAGCGGGGAGATTTAGATTGGATATCAGGAAGAAATTCTTTCTGTGGAGGGTGGTGAAGCACTGGAACAGGTTGCCCAGAGATGTTGTGGATGCCCCATCCCTGGATGTCTGCAAGGCCAGGCTGGATGAGGCTTTGAGCAACCTGGTCTAGTGGAAGGGGTCCCTGCCCATGGCAGGGGGGTTGGGACTAGATGGTTTTTAAGGTTCTTTTTAACCCAAACCATTCTGTGATTCTGTGACGTGGTTAAGTGCAGACAGCATGAACGCTAGCGAAAGGCCCAGCGCTGTAGCCCCCTTGCCCTAGAAGGTGCACTGTGCCTGCATAGAGTCTTCAGCATGAGGGCAGGGGAAGGAGAGGATCCCCTCCAGCTAAAAAGCGTTAGAGCTGCTGCTGTGAAAAACCTCATCATGAATTCCTCTAGTTTTGGGCTTCATACTGTCAGTTAAATGTCTGTACTGCCAACTTCTGTCACGTGCAGTGACAAACTGGCAGTGTAGTCAGGGTGATCCTTTCTTAATCCTCAGGTCTGGAAGAGCTGCGTTATGAATAAAACACAGGGATTCAGTTGAGGTGTGCTTTTACTGCATTTTTAGTCTTGTCAAGCTTGTGGCCATAGTGTTTGCATACAGTATTAATGTATAACATATAGACTATATAACTCTCTAGCATATAGCGTAGTTCTTGCTCTGCTTCACTTGGTATACGTGTTCCTGGAGGCTGTGCTGTGACTATCTGTAAGTGATGGCTTTTTTTCTTCTCCAGGTCATCTTAATGCCGTTTTGTGGCTGTAGAGCTAGTGCTGATAAAGCAGTTCTGAATACTTGTGAAAAGAGCTTCAGACACTAAGAATACTCAAACGCTGTGGAGCTGACAGGATTGTAACTTGTTGCTTGCATATACTTGGAATTTCCATAAAGTTTTAAATCCCATTCTAATTTTCACTTTTTTTTTTCCTCTCTCGAGTTCACCCTTCTCAAACCTGTCTTCGTCTAATGTAGACAGACATCTTTTGAGCTGGGATTTGTTTTACCAGGACCTTGTAGGGACTATAACATTCTTTTCACTGAATATCGTTATTACATCTCTTGTGCTTACACACAGTTGTCATTCTCTCACTTTGAGTGGAGTTTTCTGTTTGCTTGGGGATTTTTGGCTATGTCTGCAGGAATCTTTGACTGTTTTGAAACAAATTTTTTGGCCAGGCTGATTACTTGCGTATCTGCTGTTGATGACTTACCCAAATAAAAAGAAGTAATCTTAGAATCAAGCTGCATTGGTTTTTGCCTTAATTTCCCCCCCCCTCCAGTGCTGCAGAAAGTTGGGGTGCTTTTCCTCGACCGACCTTAATCCCTGTTTTCTCAACTGTGCTTAGTAACTGACGGATGACATAAGTTTATTGCAAACTAATTTAGTTGTAAGCTTACGTAAGAAGCGTAGAAAGGCAGACATCAACATGTATGTTATTAGTAGGTGCAGAAGATGCAGTAAAACTCCATAGGTTTTATGTGAAGAAGTTGATTTTAGTAACTGGAGAGTTTTCCTACTTGTAAATATCTGTCTTGCTGAAAACAGGTTTTTGAAATGAAGAATGAAAGCGGGAGTCAAAATGTGCTTGAGCTGGCGTAGCTGTTTCACTGTTGGTTTTCAGACTGGCCGCTGCGCAGCACCACGCTATTGTATGCGTGGCATTTCTAGTCTTACTTGATAGCACATGAAGGTGATAAGACATTTCACTGTATAAAAAAAAGTTTTGCTTTAGCATGGTGATCCAGCGAATATGGCCATGAAAGTGAATTACGGAGCACTGTTTGATTTCCAATAATCGCTGAATTTGTTTCATGATCCTCGGGAATTTCCATTTTGAAGGATCAGGCATGGAACTTTCCAGTATGTGTGTGCAGGCCAGTAACTGGAAGATGGAAGCCTGCAATATAAAAATAAAGCAAAATTCCATACTCGCTAATGTTGCCAATTAACAAGTGGTTATTATGTGTACATCTGCTTTAATTCATAATGCTTTAGTCATCTATATCTATTGGCTTTTGTTTCATATTTTGTTTCAGACATCTCTTTTTTTTTTCTTTATCCATCTTTAATTCTAGAACAACCAGAGAATGGTAATGATGCCACTGAATTGGGCAACTTTATCATACCTGAGATTAGTGTCACAAGTGTGGCTGGAGAAAGGACCGGGAATGGGGAAAAGAGCAGAGCACTAGCAGAGAATGATGTGCAGCATTTACAGGGAGTACAGGAAGCAGCTACAGATCCTAGAACTGACAGCAAAGGCATGCCAGAAATCAGGAGGCAAAAATCTGTAAGAAAAATGATGGAGGATGGAATAAACTCACCTGGCAGAGTGCAGTTTTAGCAGAGCACTTGTAGCTGCACTCTAAGGTACCACCGTTGATTGAAAGGGTCACTGCTGCATGTTTGGAGAATTAAAGAATGCAGTTAATATATTTGCATGAGTAATAACACAAATGCATGTACTGCACACAGCTTCGACTGTGCCACCGACAATGGCGACACACTTTCTCCAGGTTAAATAAATCTACTTGTAAACACACTGTGAGACTCAACATACCTTCGAGTTTATTCAGCATATCTATTGGGTTTACAAAACCCAGTGATCAATGGTATGACAAATCCATCAAAACGGATGTGAGAAGTATCTCGCTGTGTTCCTCGGATTTCCCAAATTCCACCTTTCGTGGTATATTGGGGATCTCATGTTGTGCTTGAGTTTCCAAGTCATACCACCAGACCTATGATGCAAAAGGTGACCTTTCAGTCCTAAAGCATTCTTGGGTTGCTAAACATGCAGGTGCCATATTGGGTGTCCTGGGGCATTGATCACATACCCTTAAAATTAACGAGCTTTGCAAAATCTTGTATGGGAGCACTTGCTCAAAATAAGATTTACACTTTTTTTGTTCTGTGTGGTATACTCTAATCTATAAATTTCTAATCTCCTGCATGAATTAACAAGGCTGCCTTTTTTTTTTTTTTCCTTCTCCAAATCAAATCATTTTACAAAATGAGATTGTGGGCATGCTTTCTGATCTAGTTAATGCAGCTTTATTTTCTGTAACTATATATCCTAATGAGCCTTAATTCCAAAATGTAATGGAATAGGTAAGTGTTTTGTCTTCTGTTTTCTGTTCTGTTGCTTTATGGCTTCATGCTTGTAAATACTAAAATCTGGCAATACATAACATCAACAAATGTGAGAAAGTCAATTGCTAATTCTTTTTCTTTTTCTGCCGTGCAGGTAATACTGATGTAGCAATTCAGGAAGAACTGATGGAAGTATCTGAAACTGATGAAGGGTTTTACTCTAGGGCTGCTTCTAGTACAAGTCAGTCTGCCCTATCTAACAGCAGCAACACGAGCAGCAAGAACCTCTTAGGGAAGAGCCAGCGAAGGTCTGGTGGAAGCAAAGCTGGAGGAAAAGAAAAAGAAGGAGAAACCTGCAGAGAACACTTGTCACGGAAACAAACTCAGAGAGCCCTGAGTGAGAATCTAGAGCTTGTCTCTCTGAAGAGACTGACGCTGACAACTAGCCAGTCCCTGCCTAAGCCTGGCAGCCATAGTCTGGCCAGAACGACCACTACTGTGTTTAGTAAATCCTTTGAGCAGGTCAGTGGTGTCACAGTTCCAAATAGTCGCGGTGGTGCGTCTGGTACAGAGGCAAACAGGTTTTCAGCTTGCAGTCTTCAGGAGGAAAAACTGATATATGGCACAGAAAGAACAGATCTTCCATCAGCGACCTCCTAGTATTAGCATAACTTTGTCAACAGATTGATATAATTAAATTGGCAAGTATGAAAAATAAAATAATGAGGATTTATGCTGATTCTGGAACATTGGTACATTAAGCTCCTTGTTATGCTATTCATTACCTTCCTAAACCTCAAGCCCCTAAATTCTTATTTGGCTCACTTTTGACAGTAATAGTGAATAGACAACAGTTGTGATTATTTTGCATCAACCTCTAATAGCTCGGAAGGTTCCTCTTTGATTTACCTTATTTATACTCCTGATTGCTTATGGCTTCGTGTGAAGTTTACAGCATCACCAGTTTAACAAGCACTGGCTGGTCCTTTGGCCACTGACCATGACGTGGGGCTGTTCACAGAGGCACGGGATGGGAACAAATGGAACCTCTTCCCCAGATCCTACTTTTCACTGCCACTTGGCATAGGCACAGCTGCAAGTACTGGTTTTATTTGAGGAGTCTCGCAGAATGGGCATGAAATTTTGGAGCAGCATCGTTAAGAACGCACACCTTCTCTTACGTTAGCCACGAGAAGGCTGTGCTTACATGTAAGGTTGAAAGTAGAAGCATCGGTGTTTGATGCGATGGCAGGTTTTGTAGCGGCAGTCGGTACACGTTGCAGTGTTCGTACTTCTTTATGCCTGTCTGAGTCCGAATTACGGATGCATGTTGGTTCTTCTGTATGCCTCTGGCACTGGGCCCAGAGTCATACAGCGGCAGTACTTGTGGATGGGAGTTCTTGCCTGTTGCCAGAATAGTCACTCTTCAGACTTAGTTGTTGTGTGACGCTCTGTCTGTCTCACATTCTTAAATACCAGGCACAAAACTACTAACTGAGAAGTCGCTCTCATCAGTGTTTATTGCTTATGGGGAAGAGATGTGGGTATGTCACAATGTTACGTAGGTAATAAGGTGTGAGCCCTTTGCACTGAATCAAGCAAATCAGGAGCGTGAATGTGATTTAAAGTAACTTCTTACTTGACACTAGGAGAATACTACCAAAGGATGTGTACTTCCGGTAACGTGCAAGCACAAAGGGAAATTATAATGTAAATATAACTAGCACTGTAATTTCTGGTGGTTTATAACTATTACTTTTCTAGTTTGAAATTCTAACACAGCAGCCTGTTCAAGGTTACCTAACCTTTAACCTTCAGTTAGTTTGGTGACCCTGTTTGATACCAACTTTTATACCATTAAGAGTTTAATTAAAAATGGACATTAAAACTGCTTATACAGAAATTTGGAGAAGCAATAGCTGACAAAACCACTCCGGTAGCAGTAATTAGCTGATAAACGGGCAGTACATTATGATGAGTGGAGAAATAGGATGAAGATCTAAGGCATAGTCATTCCCAACTGTCCAGGTTTCTGCAGCTAGTCATCCCTTATTGCCAAGAGCCTGGTGACAGAACGAACCCTAAAGTTCTGGTAGACTTTCCTATTTGCCTGGAGATGGGTTTAGATACCCCTTTTTGACTTAAACTGAAGCACAAGTAACTTTTAAGCAGCTAATGTTATTCAGGTTTATAGCAGCTAATGAGCTGGTTAATTAATGGAAAGAGATGAGGAGACATAGTTGATAGACAAGGAGGTTGTATAATTCTGCTTCTAAACTGCAGATGAGATGTGCACATTTCTTAGCACTCACCAAGTCTGTGGGATAGCTGCATCAGTCTGTAGGTGTCTGCCTTCACCCGAGAGCCCGAGCTTAAGTGGCTGTGCCACACTTTGTCACGTTCCTCAGCTGGTTGTGTGACGCTGTTCGATTCGAGTAATGCAGTATTTCACCCTTCCGCAGTGGAGTGTTTCTTTATTGCACATGGAAACGTACATTCCTAATGCATAAGCTACAGGGTTGTCTCATTGAGTGTTTAATGCTTTGGCCAGTGAAATAAACTGGTTCGTTGAAGTTGTATGTCTTTGTAAATACTTTCTGCAGCAGAAAGCTTTGCCTCTTTAGTGTTTTCTGCAGTATTTGTTTCGGATTGACTAATACGTATGGTTGCTGGAGGACGCATAACCACAGGCACAACCACTACACATGCTGAACGTAGAGCTCTTCCTTTCCTCGAAGTTTGTTCTAGGTGTTACGAAGAAGTAACTCGCAGAACTTCCAGCTGCCTCCTGATCTCCTCTTGCAGTGCAGCATTTAAGAATACTTGGAAACACTTAACAGTAATTTAAATTGAAGCATAGACTGGAACAGATAAATTGCAATTAACAAATGTTTGTTGCACTGATATTAATTGTGAGTTTGTGTTAAAGGCCTAGAATTTCAGTAATTATACTGGTTTTGTTTAGTTTCATTTGGTTCATAATTGGTTCAGTTATCTCCGCAGGAGACAAGCTGGGTGTTGGTATAAAAGATGTTTATTATACTGGGAAAATTTAGTCACTGTAGCTATAAATAATTAGAATTTTGAAGGATGCATAATGCTATAAAATATAGATGCGTTAGATAAAGTTTACAGTACTGTTGGCTACCAGTCAAACAGTCCTAAAGTGAAGTTAGCTTATCCTTTTATTTTAGCCAGCTAATTATTCTAACTGTGGTCTGGCTTGAACCCCAGACATAGGTTCGTATTGGTACAACTGAAATTACATAAAGCTTCATACTTTTTTGAGAAAATGATAAGAAGAAAGGTTCTTGGTACTAAAGGCTGCTGTTTCCATATGTATGTAGCTTCATATAAACATGTACATGTTGGTGTCTGGAACAACTTGCACAATGAGTGTGTTTTTGTGAACTGACATCGCACCTCGATACTGATGGAGTCTAAAGGATTTCTTTTCCTGGTGTGAGTAATAAAACTTTGTTGTGCTTCTTTCTTTTCCTAAAAAGGGGGGGGAAGGCAGTATGTGGGGGAGGGAGGCCAGAATTATTTGCTGTCCAAATATCCATGGATAAGATTGGATTGGAGAGGGGAAAGGGGAAAGTAGGGCAGGAAGCAGATATATTAATTCTTTCACGATATTTCTAAAATTGTCAAGCTCTTGGGTTTTGAGCATTATCTGATCACTTCAGACTGATGCATGAAAAATGTGTATTAAAGCAGAGGCCTTCTAACAGTGTAAGGAAAACCTATGAAGGCATCCCGTGTTGTAGCCGACCCGGGAGTTGTGATGAATACACTCCAGACATCGTACACGGCTGCAACAGGCTGCAGGAAGAACATTGGGTAGGCGTGAATCATCGCGAAGGATCATTAGAGGAGTTGGTTTAATGTCGACGTTTCCAACTGACCTTACTGTTTGAAATCAAAGGGCACTGTTTCCAGCGACGGCTTTGAACAGCAGTGTTTGCAAAACTCTATTGAAGCTGAGAAGAATTGTTTTTGTTGTGAGAATCTAGAACACTTGTGCAGAAAGCGTATGGCCTCTAAGCACTTGCTGTAGAGCTGCAACGGCTTTTCTGAAGGGGGTGAAATGTCCTTGAAATGCCTTGAATACCTGACAGATTTGACAGGTACAAAAATACATAGCCATTTTAGCTACACTTCTCTGTAGGGAGGTATTTTCTGATATCTATGAGGATTCCAGAAATTTCTAAATTATGTCTCATACCTTTTGTCAGTGTTTGAGGCTTACAGTGCAGTATATAGGTGTGTAACATATTGCCTTTTGTATTTGTATAATTCTACTTCTAAGACTAGATGTGCACATTTCTTAGTACTCACCGAAGTCTGTGGGATAGCAGCGTCAGTCTGTAGGTGTCTGTCTTCACCCGAGAACGTGAGTTTGAGTGACTGTGCCACACTCGTCGTGTGTTGTGTGACACTGTTCTGTGTTTTAGCAAAACGCGGTATTTCACCCTTTTTTACAGTGTTCTCTTTATTGTACATTAAAACTCACATTCCTAATGTATAAACTACAAGGTTGTCTGGTATTTAACAATTTGGGTAGCAAAATAAACTTTTTTTTGAAGTTGTATGCTTTTGTAAGTACTTTGTATGGCTTTTTACACTTGAATAAGCTAAAAGTCTTTTTTTTTCCCAAAAGGTACCAATTCGACTTGATGCTGTGATTGTCCTGTGTGTGTGTATGACTTGCGACTTCAGTTACGGCAGGTGAAAGGCAGTGCTTCGAACCGGCTCTTACGTGGGTTCAGGTCAGATTTGTTACTGAGTAGTGAAAGGCAGTGTGAGTTTGAGTACCTCCTCTCTTCCCAAAATGTGGGAGGGAGCACAAAAGGAATGGTATCCCAAAAGACAGGGCACCTCCTTAATGGAGGATGAGAGTACGAGAGCGCCTGCTGGGTAACTCAGAGTGAGAGGGATGTTTGAAGGTAACACAGGCAATGAGTAACCAGTCACAGAAATTACATTTTTAGTTTGACTTTACAGCTAGTTGCCTGCATTGAGCTTGTAATGATTATTTTTCATGTTTTACGTTAATCTAGCTCTGCATTAAAGATGACTTCAGTATGGGGGTTTTCTCCCAACCCACAGCTGCCAGGTAATAAATACATCTGCTAATTCAGGAGAGTGGGAAAAATGTCAGCGTGACTCTGGGAACCTTTGTGAAACAAGCCTTTACATTGCTCGGTGCTCGCTTCATTAACTTGGTTCCTAAAATGAGGTGGTGTTTAATCATCTGTTCCTCTAAATGTGCCGGGACAATACTGACATTTAATGGTGCGGAAAGACTTGTGGAAGTTAGTCTGAGTCACGCCGTGCTTCTGACAAGCTACCTCGTCGTTGTTCCCTTCGTTACTGCTAACTAACCCGGGCAGTCCTCTCTGTGGGGTTTCTTGGTCTGGACTACGATGGGGGACTTTTCTGGTGTGAGAGGGCAGATTTCGGAGGAGGTGAGAAGAAATACCAGCTTCTACCCCTGCGACACGCAACAAAGCAAATCGGGGGAGCATCGGGTATTGGCACAAGAAGTCCTCGGGGGGGGATGTGGTTTTCTGATGTTTCTGCAACATAAATAGTGAGCCAAAGCAGTGAGCGAATGTTCAGTGCTGCTCTGAAAAGGCACTTTGCTCGTGTGTGAAACTTGCCATCTTTGATTCCTATCAAAGAAGGAACAGGGCAGTGACTCCTCAAAACACACACATCTGTATAGACGTTCATACTTGAATGCACAGAATACATGGTTT